CAGCATAGCTTTCAATTATTCAATCTCTCCATCTTTGTCTCCAGCCACTGCTTTGAACATCTATTTTTGGAGGTCCACTACTCAAAAAAAAAAAAAAAAAAAGCACGGCCTACAAAGGATGGAAGTAAAGGGAGGGAGGAAACGACAGCGTGGAGTTAACAGAGGCCGTCTCTGAACACTAAACCTGGCTGTTTCGAGTAACGTTGTCTTTTTGACAGGTCAAGGAAGAAGCTGCTGCTGTTCTTACACTGACAGTCACATTTTTTTGAGTAAGAGGGATGTAAAAAGCCTTTAAATAAATATAGTTTACCCCCAGGTACCTTTTCTGTCAATCAATTGTATTGTTTACTTCATCCATTCCCCAGTGACTGATGGAGAAAGGCATCACCCTTTGGGTTTGGTGGAAACACTTCTGTGTTTAATTTATCAGTATACTTTAGATCATTATCATTAGATAATAGGTCATTAAATTATGGTTGGTTTCCATCGCACTTAAAGAAGAATCAGGCTCACATCATCCCAGATTCTCCATTATAGAGATTATGATATGGTTTTTTCCAGATGTATATTGTTTATTTGTAGAAAAGCTTAATATTAAACCCATTTTCATTCGGCTATTAATAAACGTGCAACCACAAACCACCCATCGTGGATTATTGTGGCCTTTCCCATCAAACAAGACAATATTGCGAACCTCGTTTGCTTTCAGATCATACAGCTGGTGTTGTGGGACCAAAAGGACATTACTTTTAATTTGCAGCACAACAAGAATTCACTAGTGTGGGATTTCCCCTGGAAGAAACCCAGCAGCACACAGCACAAAGCTCCAGTTAAGTTGTCAGAGGGGGTTTAGTCAGCCCTATGTGTTTCCATTTGTGAACATACAGGAAACACTTTTCTGACATCACTCCCAGAACTCTGCGTGACATGTAGGTGGCGTGGGACCGTTGCCGTGGAGACTTGGTGACCTCAAAATGCTGCTCTTAGCTGTGGGTCTCATGAACGTATTATTGGAGGTCGTTTTGACCTCGGAACCGTTCTTCTTACTGCGTGTGGTCAGTGGCTAACAAATGGGCTCCTGTATTATGTCATATTTAAACAGAAAGTTCTGGACATTCCTCTAAGCTTTGATCACTGGAAGAAACCAAGATATGAATTGCATTATTCTTAAATTACATTTACTTTAAAGGACTTGTTGGAGATAGTTATGCCGACCAGTGTTTTTTGAGACAATTATTTCTTAATGTAGGGTGTTTTGTTGTACAACTGAATCCACGTACTCTAATCAAAAGCTGGAGTTTTCAACAGTTTTATAATATGAGATTATGCCACTGCACTAACAGATGGATGTATTTAGAGGCAGGATCGTATTTCTGTTTATATGAACATGGTTTCTCCTTTACACCTAGAAAATACACCCACATAAAGAAACAGGAAGCTCCACCATCGATATATTCATTATGTTTGTGTTTGTGTTTTAGGCTGAAGTGATTCAGTTCTATTAAATGTTATTAGAATGTGTGCAGAACAGAGTTCTCCTCACTTGCTCATGAGAAACACACTTCTCTTTAACCATTGTTCCCTGTTCTCCTTATCAGCCTGTGCAAGCTGGTGAAATATAATGATGGAGGTTTAGAGTGCATTAATATTTTGTTGGTTAGTGTACCAGTGGTTTTGTAGTGAACGTCCCATTTTGTTAGGAAAACCATGAGGAAAAGAAATCTGCGGGATAATCCTTGCTTATCTCTATGGACCAGCCTCCTCCTGTAATAAATTACTATATGAATTTCCTGTGGTTATTTAGACAGACTTTGGTTGATGCTGTGCAGCCTCTATTTTCATTTACGCAGCCATAACAATGAATGCCACTGCAAGAGGGTGTTTTGTTACTCCTGGAATGGGAATGGGGTGTCTGTGGACTGTAGTGATTTACTACAGTCCACAGACGTCCCCATGATTTAACCTGAGCTTTGTCTTATGTGTCAAATAGAAGTTTTGCTTGGTTGACTCTCTTATTTATTTTCTTGTTGCAAAAAAAAAGAAAAGAAAACATGCTTAGTTGAGCCAGATTTTATGATTTAAAGGAGCGGACTGCTTCTACTCTTCTCAGGTTTTTAGAAACTTTTGTTCCAGATCCGCCGAGGAGCCGAGAAAGTTGTTTCGTTTGCTTCCATAAACTTAGTAAGCAGGTCTCAGACGAATCGAGCGTTCTACATTGTTCACACTTGACAAGCAACTCAGAGACCATTTAAATCACTCTTTGAAGTATATAGAGGAACTCTTCCATCTTCTCTTTCCAGTGCATAAATATATCAGTACGCCTCTCAGAAAAAGAGACTGAAGTGCCACCACTATGTATTTATGGTTTGAAAGCATCACCTTAATCCTCCCAAGCACACTTTTAGTCTGTTTGGCCAAAAAACTTAATCTTTGTCTATTCTGACCATAAAAAAATTCACCAGAAGATATTTGAGTTGTACAGAAGCAGCTGTAAATTTCAGTCAAGCTTCAATGTGGCAGTTTTTTTTTTCTCTGCTGTGTATTTTTCTTGCTTGGTGCTACCTCAGTCCAAGGTTATGTTGGACATATTTTACTGTGAATTGTGCCTAATGTGCATTTTTGCTGAGATGCATCTAAACCTGTCTTACACGAAATTGACAAGCGTGAGGAAATGATGAGGATGACCTGGACTCAAACTGTCATAAACTTCATCATTATGCACAAATTGATGTTCATGAGAAGCTAAGGACTTCTTATTTGAACCATTTATGGTGCTACTGACGCTGGTGTAAAATGTACTTTTCCTTGCCTACCTCTAAGAAATGTGCTGTCATCACTGTGTTTTGGAAAGTCTCACAGGGTTGCTGCCGCTGTACGAGAGTGCAAAGGTTCTGGTTGGAGAATGTTGATACTGACAGTTTTCTTTTACTGAAACAAATGAAACTTTGTCTCTGGCGACATCCAGCATGCATCTTTTCAGCGCTCAGCCTGAAAAGCTTGAATGTGTAGTGACACTGGACGTTAGAGCGCAGGTTGTTTCTGTCCACTTGTAGAGTACAGTTATGTTCATATGACATTGGGCTGAAGACAGTTCTTCCAATATTTCTGAAAACGACCATCTTTTTCCAACATGCTACATTTCGTCTGAGGACGATAGCTTGGATCAGGTTAAAACTTGGATACAGTTCAGTGTTCAAACAAAACACATATAAAAGTTTTGGATCTGACAAAGCAGGACCTCAGTCTGTGTGACAGTTTGTGGACCGTGTGTAAAAACCAAAGAGTGTCTGGTTTCACTGTTGGAGGATATTTCACCAACTATTTGAAATTAAGGCATTTGATCTTGCGTGTTTAATTGAAATGATGTGAAGATTAGGAAACCAACGCAATAAATTTAAAGTTGAGAACCTACAGCCTTTTTGCTTCACCTAACAGCTCCCTGGGAATCACTGTGTTGCTATGGGACTTAAACAACGTTGGTCAGTGGTTTAAATGTAAAGTTGTTGTTGTTTTTTTTTTCTGTTAATCAAAGGTGAATCTGAAGTGGCTTAAAGAAACAAACAAAAAATAAAATAAAACACTTGTAGGACAATTAATATGTTTTAAACTAAAGAAAATAAAATAATTCATCAAAATCCTGAAGACAACTTTCAAAAACCTTCAGAAAGCCAGAAGACCTGCTTATGAAGAGCTCTTCAGTAAGCTCAGTTTAGTTGTAAAAACATTTTTCAAAAAGTAAACTTGTCATTGTACAGCATATGGCCTTATTCTTTATTTGGCAATGTTTCTCTCTATTAAGTCCACTGTCCCCCTTCCTTTTCTGCCCCACCTTAATCCCTCCAGCCTTTACTCTCTCTGACTGTGACAGCCTGCGAGCCCATCTCATGCTTCAACTGTCAGGCTGGGATTCATCGCTTGTGGGGGCGGCGGGGTAGTTGTGGCTGGATGAGTGAGATATTTCAATACCTGAACATCTTGACTCTGAATTTATGCTGATGAAGACTCCTCTTGCCCTCCAGCAAACCTTCTGCCGCCTCTTCCGCTGGAGCGTACACTCCTGCCTCCTCTGCCTGATTATGATCTTCGCTGTGGTTCACAGTCTCTCTGTTCCCCTCCTGCACTGTCCCTGCCTTTGTTAAGAGGACTTTTAGGTCACAATTATCGCATAAAAAGCGATTTGGGAGCATTCTCACTCATTAGTTTCTGGTATTCAGCAGGGATGCTTAATAAAAAGACATCAGAAATAATGTTGAAACTTTGCTTCAACATGAAAGGCTGCAGGAGGTTAAGCTGTTGTTTTTTTTTTACAGACTTGCGGCTGGTGCCAAACACACAAGCATTTGCAGCAACAGTGATCATGAAAAATGAGTTCAACTCAGATGTTAAAGTGACTGCAGGTTACCGGGACAACTTGGGGGTTTTTCACACCCCCTTTTTTCTGCTCATGATCTGAGTGTATCTTGAACTTCCCCCTCTCCTAGAGCATCTCAGTCCCCCACCCCCATCACTCAGGGTGCTGAGACCCTCCTCCTGGCTCTGATTGGCTGTTTATACTGTCATGACATATTGACACTTTAGACAGATATGCACGAGATATGTTTTTCATAAATGTTACTGTAGCTTTAAGACAGCCAACAGCTACTTTATTCTTAGCAACACCGAATTTCAACTAACGGTTCTCTAAGTTTTGTCACTGAGAGTTTAGTAAAACCAACACCTCAAGTCAGATGCATGTTTTTTTTTTTTTGCTCTGTGGCCTATAGGCCAAATTTATTTTAATTACTAATATATAAAGGAGGTAGGAGAACACAATCTAATCTCATTTCCTTAACATTTCTAACTAGCACATGCTTCTCTGAGAATAAATTAGTGGAAGACTGAATGAAAAATAGGCTTTTGTAAACAATGTATGTAGTTTGCATGTCTAAAAATCTACATTTTTTTTATCTGGGTGTGACTGATATCCTAATGTCTTGCCGTGTTATTTCTCTTTTTCTCAGCATCTTGCAGCCAGACATGGGGAAAAAGTCCAAGTACAAGACATCAGTGAAGAAAAAGACTCTCAATCCTGAATTTAATGAGGTAATGTTTCCCTCTTGATCTAAAATGCACACCTGTCGACTCGCCTGATTTCCCCTCTGAGCTGTGAACGATCTGCAGCTTCCAGCAAAAGCATCACTCTTAAAACCACTTCAGATTCTTTTCTTACCTCCGGATCTTGCTTTCAGCACCAATCTAACATGTTTTCAATGAAAATTTATCAAATGAAGCCGCTTCCATTGCCGTGTTTGCGAACAACTGATGCGAATTTCCTTTTATGTCCGCCACCTGCACAGGAATTTTCATATGAAGTAACCTTGGACCAGCTGGCAAAGAAAACCCTGGAGATCTCCGTGTGGGACTATGACTTGGGAATGAGTAACGACTTCATAGGTAAGCTCCAAGACTGTTCAAAGAGGAAATCAGCAGCAGCAGCAAAGAATATGACTATGTTTAGATGAAAGCATAGCATCTGCAAAAAAAAAAAAAAAAAAAAAAAAAACCCTTTTAAAAACCAGGCCAAGAGTGGTTATAGAGAAGGATTAAAAATGGAGGAGATACGAGGGGTAATTATGAGGCTTGAGGGAGCGACTGAATGGGAGAGAGGAATCCGAGTGGAATGGGAAATGAAGACAGGAAATCGCAAAGCTCAAAAAGCTTGATGCATGTCTCTGGATCCTTATTCACCGTGAATTTAGCCCATCAGACGGTTGAAGCGTAATCAGACTGCTAAACAGCTTTGGCGATGAGGCGCCACTGGATCTGCACGAGATGCTGGAGAATGTGGTGACAATGGCTCACCAGCATATTTAGCTCAAAGGGCTTCAAATCACAGCGTCTTACTTTAACTAACGTGTGCGAGACGGTTCAGCGCGAGGTGTTCAGGTGTGGGTTGTTGTTTCGGATGAGGTCGGTGAGTTACAGCCCTGCGGGGCGGAAGGGCCGTCAATACAACATCCATCTATTCCCATAACCATCATCATTACAGGTTCAGCTACAGCAGCCTGCCAGTTCGGTTAATTAGAGCCAAGAGAAAAATAACAGCAAGACAAAGGAGGGAAGAGAGAGAGAGAGAGAGAGAGAGAGAGAGAGAGAAAAAACAGGTTGTTTAAGAGAACAGCATTAATCCCAACGCATCAGAGTGCAGCGAGTCTGAGATGCTCTTTGATAGGGACGGGTCATCAGCAAATAATATGTAGGAGGCGAGGTTTTATGGGTAAATGGAAGGGAAACAATGCATCAATGTTGACACTAATTTGAGGGTGATTAGCACACAGATGAACATGTGATCTGCTTCGTGAGTCATATTTTAAACAGAGAGCTTTGTCAGAAAAATATCAAACCAACACGGATTGTTCTAGAACTGTCTTATATTTGTTGTGAAATTTACCATGTATGATAAACACTGAAGAACAAACAGGCCTGTTTGTTGTGAACACCCTTAAATTAATACTTTGTTGAGATATGTTTTTATTTATATTCAGCATTTAGGTACTTTTTTTTGGTTCGCAACTTTCATCAGTTATCAAGAATCTGATTAACCTGAAGTAAAATTTGTGTCATAGTCGTGTTTTCCTGACATTTTGTTATTTTTGTACTTTAGCTTGCCGAGAGGCTGAAAAGGATCAAAATGATCTAATTTTCAGGAAAAAGGAACTAAAAACAAAGTTTCAACATTCTGTTATCCGCATTTGGACAAAAATGAAGAACAGGAACACTGTTGAAACTAAACCTTTCTCCACAATTCATAAAAAAGAAAACTTGCCTGCGTTGCTGCTGCCAGACCTGGCTCTGAGGCTGTTTTCACACTACATCAGCACTTATAAACCCCATAGTGGGTTTTAAAGCAAACTGCAGCACCCACTCCTTCCTATGTGAAAGCTCTCAGACCCTAAAGCAGCCACGGGAATTTCTGATCACTGGATGTGATGATCCACATGTGACAATGACAGATGCCTTTTCTCCCAAAGAAAACGTCAACCACACTTAAACTTCCAGGCCAAGATATCAAAAAGTATGTTTGGCACAGACAACACTGAGCACAGCTAAATAAACATTATGCACACCACATGACAGTCATTTCCACTTGTAAAGGTGGATGAAATTATGAACAGTTCTAAATACAAACAGATTTAACCCCAAACCTTCAGGTGTCGCCTAGAAAACTGTAGATGAAGAGAAATCTATTTGTTTCACCATCAATACGAGCTCAAGTTTACATCCAAATCAACAGATATAGCTTCACCTGAACAAAATAAAAGTTTTAGGATGGTTGGAGCAGAGATCAGAACTACTTAAATCTGACAGAAAATCTGTAGGATGAACTGAAGAAGGCCAAATATTACCAAATCAAGGTGTGGGATATTGACTGACTTCCACTAAAGAAAAGCTAAAGCTGAAATTTAACTGAAAGTTGGTTCAGCACAGTAGCTTTAGGCTTGTACACTTACACAGTCAGGTTGTTTATATATATATATATATATATATATATATATATATAAAACAGGAGAAAATGTATGATTTAGCATAGTCTTGTTTTTTGGGAATTCAAAACTTATTGTTTTAAAATGGTTGTGTGAACTGTAATTTAATTTGTTAGTTATTTAAAAACTTGATCTCGAATACTTCTGAGGGTTAAATTTTCAAAAATAAAACTTTGTTTCAACAGAATCGGGTGGCATTGGCCAACTTTGAGCGATTTCTGGGGTTTTCTTTTTTATCACCATTCATTTTGTTCTGCTCACATGCTGCTGCTCAGCCGGGCTGCAGGGAAACCAGTTATATGAATGATTAATGAGTTCAAAGGAAGCGTTTCTATGTTTTCATCAATGCAAACTTGAATAGCATTTGCATAATCACAGAATATAGATTGTAGCAAAGAAGACATCCATATTTCACATGATTTTGCACAAACATTGTTTGTCACCGTGGTTCCCCGTAAAGATCTGTGGATTTGACACCTAAATCACACGCAGGATGAAACCTGAAGTTAAAAAATGTGCAGCAAAACATCATTTTGCATAAAATATGTCAGGAGATCAAAATTTAATGAGCTTTTAAAGTCTGTGTTTTATCCTCAGCTGTATCTGTATCAGTTCGCCTCCCTTGGATGCCCATCTTTCCTGTCCTTCGAGCAGCATCTGAACGGCTACCCATTTATTTGGCTGTAGCACCTTGCCGGCTGAAAAAAAAACACCAAATCGATCCTCTAGAGTTGGAGTTATGTGGGCACAGCAAGTATTGTTATTCCACCGGAAACTGGCTCCGGACGATGAGCTATAATGCCTAAAGGCGGCTCCTCTCCCGCCCGCAGCAGCATCTCAGGCAGAAATAAGATAAGTCGCAGATCAGCAATCCTGCCTCGTTTGCTTGGGGTTGTCATTTTCCAAGGCGTTGTTAGAAGTCGATGTAACCAAAAGGTTTTGTTTACCTCCATGCCCCATTAACTGTGCAGTCACAGGGATGGGGAGAGCTTTGTAATAACCTCTGTGTAACAACTGCCTCCATCTCCCTGTCTTATACTCATCAGGAACGTGTTTTTTTTTATCTCGGTTTCTCTTTCATCTAATTCTCCAACAACCCTTCAGTTTTTCTCTGTCTTCTGCTTTTCATCTCGAATCTTGGCTTACGTCTATTTCTGCTTCAATAAGTGAGTCTCACTGTCAGTTCATTACCATGAATGCTGACAAGCAGTACACATATACTGTGTAAATTATGAATGGAGCCTCAATAGCTGCACCCTTTGGATTTGAAGTGCCGTTTTGTCGCCTTCAGCTCGGCTTTCAGCTGTCGCCGTGTTTCTGGGGCCAAATATGCGGCCGTATCTGAGCAAAAGGGCGGACAGAGAGCATAGTCTTTAAAAAGCTCATTAAGCAAAAGCGGCTGTCTTTAAAACTTTACATCTATCGAGGTTAAAATGAGCAACAACGTTAGCAGTACACTAATCAGAATCTAGATAATGACAGCATAATGACTCACGATAAAAAAAAGAAGAGCAGGCTTAGGATTTCATTAGAGACGCTGCAAGGTTCACATTGGTTTCAGATTTGACAGCAAAAGATTCATCCGTCATTTCAAAAGTCTGCGATTCTAAGTAACTGTTAGATTTCCACAAGGAAAGACAATGAGTTAGCCTTACTTTTTCCCCAATACCACCTAACAGGTGGTTGTTCAGCATCCTCTACAGTTATGCATAAAATCTTCATGTTAGACTCTATATGCATTCTCGCCTAACATCTAAATTGGTTTTAATTGTTTACTTGAAGCCTAAATGCTTTAACTAGGGGTGATAGGAATTTAAAAGAGTGAAATAAGTTAAGCTTCAATTGAAATGTTGCTGTAATAATACCAATTTGCGCACAAAGATTGTATGTTTTCCTTGAGATTTGAGAGAATGGAGGTAAATATAACATTTGTCGGTGCTGGTACATAGAAACAACATGCATTCTTTTCACATTCTTTGCACATCAAAACTGCAGGACAGGCTGTGCACCAGCAGCAAGACACTTTCTGGCTATAATAAGAGGCGGTATTCACTTTATTGTCATACAAGAAAATTAAGTTGCTCATAAAATTGTTAAATATGAACCATAATTTCCATAATTCTACGCCAGCGTTCAGCACAGGCTCCTCTGTGGCTGAGTTGCTTGTAACAATGACAATGTAGAGGCAACATGTCTCCAAGGTAAATATGGAATGGAGTGTAATTTATATTTAAAAAATTCTCGTTATTCTTTCAACAATGACAATACAATTATTATTAATACACATGGAAAGTATGGAGCATGGATATTACTCCATTTGTGGTCTGAGAAGAATGAGAACAAACAGCTTACGTTGTAAAGACACTGCATTAGTAGCAAGACGTTTCAGCTTATTAAAAAAATATTTTTTAATTGACCCATTTAGTAATATTGCTTAGACATGTTTTCAACTATAGATGCTCACTGCCCACCAAGAAATGGATAATCCTTTTTTAGCTGTGATTTCTCAGTTTTGCAAAAATGTTTTATACTTTTGCTTGTTTGAGCATAAATTGTGACAAAATTGGTAATGACAAGATATTTACATACAGCATTTAGACCTCCATCAAACCTCTAAAGCATAGAAAAAGTCTGCAATTTTCGTGTTCGAAGAGTAAATTGAGGCATTTGGAAAAGTTGTCATGTTGGGTGGGCCCTTCAGGAAAAATATGTACTCAACGTAAAAACTATAAACTAACTCAATGCTCATGTTTTTTTTTTTTTTTTTGCTTTTGTGTTGGCAGGCGGAGTGGAGCTGGGCATCAATGCAAGCGGACAGAGACTTAGACACTGGTTCGAGTGTCTCAAAAACAAAGGGAAGAAAGTTGAATACTGGCACACGCTCACGCAGCAAGGTGCCCCAAGCAGCGACAAGCCGGACTAGATTACCCAAGACATTCTCGCAGACAAAGGCACACCCACAAGCACAGATGCGTTTGTCTCACTTGAACAACGGTTGACAAGAGTCCAACAGCAGCAGCAGCAGCAGCGACCTGAACAAAGAATAAAAGATGCAATAATAATCTCATCACAAATCTAAATTGTCATGTGTTGCCGCTAATTGAGGCACGACGTATTAGAATATACTCATACTAATCTCAGTGATGGTGACAAGGTGTAACATGAATCTATTTATTTTTCAAGGTAAACTAAATTGTGACGATGTCCTCATCGAAGTGTCGCCATGCCAAAACATTACGCTGAAAGTTGTGCGTAGACCTCACCTCATTGTGGAAGTCGAACATTTCCATCCAAATTTACACTGAACAGACACATCCGAGGCTCATTCGGTTAAAGTGCCCAGCTATTTGTACACCCTTGTGACTTCTAATGTGGTACATAGTGACAGGAGTTTCAGGATGTTGTTGAAACGTCTCCAACTTAAAGTAGTCGTCGCGATCTGATGCAAAATAAGACACCGTATTATTATACTGTAAAGCACAAAGATGATCCATTCGGTGGATTCGTACCTTTACCTTTTCTGTGTTATGTCTTTTCGTTATTTGTCTGTGGCAGTGGTGGTCTATCACCTATGTGTCAGGCAGTAATGTGTCAGCATTATATGTGTGTGTGTTTGCGTGTGTGTGTGCGTGTATGTATGCGTGTGTGTGTGTTTGCGTGTGTGTGTGCGTGTATGTATGCGTGTGTGTGTGGGAGTTTTGACAATACGAGTGCCTACATTTTCTGTATGTGCAACATGTGTCTGTCTGTATTCTCCTCACGCCCCATTCAAAATGTTTCTATTCGACTTCAGGTGCACCGAGGTGTGAAGAAATACTGACGAAAAGGCAAAAACGGTTTATTCAGCGGAGAAATTATCTGTAACCACCTCAGGCCACAGCGTTGTGGCTGCAGGATAGTGACAAAAAACTGTCAGCGGCGTGAGCCTGAGAAAGAAAACACGAAATCTTTTTTTCTTTTTTTTTTTGTCTTCCCACTTTTGTTAATGAGAAGCAGACATCTCATTTTGCTTTTGGATGTGTTGCTTGCTACAGAAGTACTGAAGCAAATTTCAGCCAGATTCAAGATAATTCACCGTATTGCAGTGACTCTGGTTCTGCTCTAACAAAACACAATGGTGACGCAACATTTTCTTTAAGCGGGGAAATGTTACCATTTTTCATTGATAAAAACAGTTATCAGACTGTGCTGTTTGGTTTCTTTTGACCAAACCCAAAAATATCTTTTAATCCACTGCTGCATGCTTTCCTGCTATAGACATTTGCCTGAATCTTTGAATCCTAGATGCATTGATCCTGTGGGTAAGATCGATAGTGATATCCTTGTCTGTCAAACTTCGTTATTTACTGAGCATCTCTGTGCAGTTTACAGGCTAACAGAACAAAGTTCCCTCTTATGATTTAACCTCAATTACAAATGGGTCAGGTATTGCTATCAATCAACCTTTTAAATGCTTTATAAACACAAAGTTTTTCCGTGATACCACTTCCAAGGTTTAAAATCTACTCAGCTGGCTTACAGAAGGCTGCTGGTACAAAAAGTCCAGTTCAGCTGGAGATACAGCATGTCAGGTCAAGGTGGCACTGCTGAAAATACAGCTAGCAAGCTATTAGCTGATTAGCTAGAGTTTTAAAAACTTGTTTTCCAACGATACAATTCTATTTTTTTTTTAATCTTTGCATCACAGCTTTTATATAGTGAAATTGTGGAAATTGTGGCACTCAATCTGTATTACTGTCAACAAACTTAGACCTTGTCACACTAACCTGTGTATTTAGCAAAAACTTAACATATTTTTTTTCAAAAGAACAGAGATTTTTGTCAAAGACTAATTTTTAGAAACACTTTAAAAAAAAAAACTATGCTTTGAGGACATAAGAAAGACATTTTCATCCTGGCGCATAACTAAACAGAAGCTACAATTGTTCTTGGAGAATCTTTTACCCTTACACTGATTTAGTAATCCTCAGGATCCTTTTTTTTAAATTTATATTTCAATAATGTCTGCATTATTTGAACTTGCTGATGTGGCACATGTAATACAACACTTTTTAATTAGAATGACATATCAATTTTTTCTTATTTATTACAAAATAACCAGAGCGGTGTTGCTGAAGCCTCACATCCAGATTTCTGACAAGCTGCAAAGCTTTTCACACGACCATCTCTACACGCATGGTCTATGGCTGTCTAAAAATAAATCTACATTTTGTTTCTGTACACAATTGTCCCTTGATTGTCTTAATACTGACCAGGATATCGAATGCCCACCTTCACTTCTGTCATGTAATCTTTGGTCATACAAAAGAACACAGTCGGTCGGTCGCCTCGGGAAGATTGCTAACTGATAATCGATCCAGCTGCTCATATCCTGTCATGTCTTTCAACAACCTTGGGATCCTTCAGTGTTTTTGTTGTGTTCAACCTTAAAAAAAAAAAAAAGGGCTTGGGTATTATGAAGATTTAGGAGGCTTAACCAAATATTCAATTACGTCTTTTAATAACTTTAGGAACTGGATTAGGCAAATCTGGGCGGGTTTGTTGTGTATTTTCTCTATGCACATTTAACGTCTCGGCACGTCAGCAGTGAGATAATCAACCCAAACAGTAAGCTCATGTTATTTCTGGAAATACTCTGCACTTTGTTTACTCTGAGGCTGGATAATGGAGATCAAATGGAGTTCACGTTTCTGGCCGGATTGTTGCTTATTTTTGTGCATCTCTGGCTCTGTTGTTTACAGTCGCAGTATTTTCAGGCTCTTGTCTATTGACCCCTGCTTTGCTTGCGTAATCATTTATCTGCAATACAGCTGCATGTTTAGCAATTGCCATCAGCTTGCATAATAGAGTGCGACTCTGACTGATCTCTCTGAATACTGATGTGTTTACAGTCTGTGCCATCCATGCGGTGTGTGTGTGTGTTTGTTTGTGAATAAAATTATTCAGGGTAATTTTTGCTCAGTTGCTGTACTCAACAAAGCGAGCTTTTGCTTTTAAGAAATCCTTTACTGTCACAGACTTTAACACTTGTCTTCCTTGAATTGAAAACAGTGGCGATTATGCAGGAGGGCTGACGCGGGAATGCGATGTGGAGTCCCTGTGTATTTATTGTCATTGTCAATCCCACAGTATGGCTGCCATCCTGTGTTGGTTTTGTGTAACTACTTCGCAAAATAAACTGAAACTGTTTCAGTGGTCTTTTGTCCTGCTTTGAGTGTCACCTTGGCCTTTTATTCAACCGGGTAAAGGGACACTTCAAAATTTCAAAGTGGGTTTTTGCTAAAAAGGTCTTAATTAACTATCTTCCCTTCGGTAAGATTTCTTCCTGTCTTAGATTAGTATAACTGTTCCAAGACGGTGAGTTAGTAGTAAAAACCAAAACAGGTATGTCGTGACTCTTTTAGGACTGGTTAAACCATCATTTCGAAACGACTTCATGTTTTATTTTACTAAAAGCTTAGTTGATCAGAAGACAGAAAAAATGTGCTTGTCAAAACTCGACTAAAAGTGAAATAGAGTAGCTAAATTGTAACTTAAGCTACGTTACAATGTGCTGTCCAAATTACCCTGATCTGCAGGAATCTCAGTGTTTTTAGTTAGGGTAACTCTGGATTAGCTGATCCTGGAAGCTAAAGCTAACATCTAGCAAACAGATGCTGTTAAACATCTTTCATCGTATCCCCAATCCCTAAAACATTGTGCTGATATGCTCTACTATGAACCTTCGAAGTAAACGATGGTGATTGACAAAACCCATGACTATAAGTGTCTGGTGTGAATTATCCCTATAACAATACAAGTCAGACAGTAATTATGTGTATTTTCATTTATTTGTCATAAGTGTACCACATAAACATTAACCATACTTCTTAAAAGGTACCGCTTACTACATCAAGTTTCAGAAATAAACTGATGCTATCTTGCATGGTTTACTCTTCGACAAGCAGACTCCATTAATCATTTGCTTTCTGCTCATGTGCCTCTCTCCATTTTTCTTCTTATGGCTCCAACATTCGGCCAATAAAGAGTGGCACGTCGGCCTGGTCGCTCCACAGCAGCAAGACGAACGGCCGCAGAGCGCTGAAGGTGGGGAAGGAGCGAGAGAACGACAAGCTGGTGACAGCTCCAGCCTCAACTCCTCGTTCGGTCAGGGCGAGGAAGGCTTTGTGCTTGGCATCATCCAAAACCAGATCGTTGTTTGAGGACAGGCCGCACAGGCTGGGCCCCTCAAAAAGTGATGACAGGCCTGGTTAGAGGGATGAAAGTGAGATCAAAGAGCAGACGAAGCAACATATTTCACAAGCAGCGTCATCATGGCGCTGATTAAGGTAGGCTAAAAGCGCTGGTGCGTGAGTAACATCTGAATATGGAGAGCAGCAAACCTAATTTCTTGAGGAGCATTTTCATGTTTGGCTCCACATCCAGCTTGACTTGAGGCAGAGTGACCTCCAAGTTCTGGGGAGGGATCGCCTTTACAAGCTCAATCATTTGACGCACGTTTCCGTCCGTCATCCTGTCCTCCATCTGCTGCAGGTCCGACAGTTTGTTGCCAAATGGCAGCAGGATGTAGAGACTGTTGTCACCCGTGAGAGCAAACCTCCCAACCTATGGACAAACAAAATGTGTTAAGTCCTCTCTAGAATTACAACAACAACGTCAGAAAAGACACTAAAGGTTCAGCTGCACACCACAAATAACAGGTGAGTTAATCAGGAGGTGACCATCATCAGCCACGTGATATAATCCAAACCCAGGAGATATCTAGATTCACAAGGAATGTCAGACTTACTTTCCTGGCCCATTTAAACAATTCCAACCACACTGAGATCACTAGACATCTCTATGCAGACGTCTTTTAACTCTTTCCTTTCAAACACATCCCATGCTCTTCAGTGGAAGACAGAATCATCTTTATTTGTTGCTCTTTTTTTTTTTTTTGGAATAGCTACAAGAGGACTTTCAAAATTTGCCAAGACAGTGAGAAATGTTAACCTGTTTTTTTCTTCTTCTGTATTTCTTTCTCATTTTTGTCAAAGGTTTCACATCATAAGTCAAATTCGAACATCAGACGAGGTCGTTTTGAAATGATAATTTAATTTATCAAAGGAACAAGCTATCTAAAGCCAAAACTTGAGGGCTCTCTAATAACTGCATATGCCACCCCTGGCAGCAACAACTGTCATTTAGTATTTGCAAAAACTGACAATCAGTTGTTTTTCTTTTACATAGAGTAGAGATACTCCAGCCCACCCATCTTTGCAATTGCTTTTATTCAGCCACGTTGGAGGATTTAAATTGGACTTTGATCAGGCCACTCTAAAACCTCTTAGATTTTGTTTTAAGCCATTCAGAAGCAGTCATCTTAGTGCTCTTTTGAAAAATAATACTGCTACATGATCCAAATGCACTTAATCTTAAGATCTCACATTTATCAGTGGAAATTCTTCATCATGATTTTCTCATCAATGGCAGGATGTATGGTTCCATTGAGACATACAATTTGTCCAGAAGCAAAACAGTGCTAGACCATCATACTATCACTACCATGTTTGACTATAGTTATGATGTTCTTTTTCTGAAAGTCTATGTCAGGACAAGACCCACACATTTCAAAATGCATCACTTTTGGTAAGCAGTAAGTTCAACACTGTTCATGTTTTCTCCATTTGTGGATAATTGCTCTCACTGTGGATTGTAGAGTCACATAGAATTGGGTTGGCTTAGATAGTTTATTTCTCTTATTAAACACAGTCCAAATTTGGAAACTGCATTTTAAGTTTTACTCTGGTAATCTTTGATATTTAATTAATTTATGAATCTCAACCAACTAAGTATGACAAACGTCAATGCCTTCATTGACCTTTGTCAATTTTGTGACAATAAAGCAAAGAAACCTGCAAATAATTAATAATTTATTATTGTCTATTTTACAATGATCTATTGGAGATAAAGATAGTTATGGAAACTAGAACATTTCTGAAGAAATGTAAACGGGCCTGCCAAAATATTCTTGGCTGTTGGAACCCAGCATTCTGATGCTAAAAATTAGCATCAATGCTAAAGTAAGCTACAATGTATTCAATGTGAAGAGTCACAACCATGTTGAGTAAAATGAACCTACTCCATTCAGAATATTAAAATTAGTGTATCAGCTTAAATGAGCCAAAATGCTAATGTTAGCCTAAATGCTATCAGTGGCATGTGGGCTATAACTAGCATGTTGTCTTACACTGACTTCCTCCATTCAGACTTTATTAGCATGGCTAATAAATAAACAAAATAGCTAAAAATCTTATTTTAGAGAAAAAGCTACTGCTAATGTGGGCAGTAGCTACATTAGCAATATTTGTGCTAATTTTAATCTACTGCCTTCTGATTCTTACTTTTGCAAAATTAAAAATCAGATGTTTAATTCGTGGCACTTGGTTACCAGAACATGCGCTCATCTCTTAGCAACAGATTAATAACAAATATTGTTATTGTTCAAAAGCATAAGATTTCTTCTACTGTTTTGAAATACTACTTATGTTGCATAGCTACTTAACAAGAATTATGCACTTGGTGAATTTTTCAGAAATTGTATTTTTTTATTGTCATTGGTGATGAATATACTGTTATATAATATATATATATATATACTATCATATACACTAATATATACTATAATATAGTATAAATATACTATACTATCTCTGTAGTTCCCTACATCTCTGCCCTCCTCGCTGTTCTGTTTCTATGGTAATTAATCCTCTCTGAAAACTGTTGTGTGAGTGAGACACAATAATTCTATCTCTGTTTTGACTCCAACTGACATAAAACAGTGTAGGTTAGAATTTGTTTTAATTTGAATTTGGCTCGTTTTTTTTCCCACTAATTATGTCGCCATGGTTACTTGAAATGCCAACAGAAGCAATGGCCCTCATGCCTAGATCCAGCCGCATGTCTTGATATTGTGGGGGGTGCACACAGTGCTACGAGCCACATTAATGGTGAAAGGAAGCGACAGTTATTTTGAGGTGAAGAGCAAAGGTGCCTTCCATGCATTGCATGGAGGCATTGAAATGCCTTGCCTGAAATGCCTTGCCAACGCATTTCAATGTTCTGCTATGGTTTGCTATGGCAGGCTCCGAATATGTGACAGTGTGAACAGTCACATATTCGGAGGAGGATAATCAGGACTAAAGGAAAAGCTTTAGGATGACCTAGATCTTCTTTTGTCTCAGAGCAAAATTAAATATAGTTCAAGATGGAAAGATATCAGCCAGTGCCAACAACTTTAAGAACTGAGAAAACAACTCCACATTGGAGTAGCAACTGTCATCATAGTACACAACTGAAACAGTAAGTTGGCCACCAGATGGCATTAATGTCAAGACTTAAAACTTCCACCACAAAGTCTATTTTTTTTTCTCTTTCTCCCAGTTTTATTAATCTTTAGTGTTGGTGTTTTCCAAATTTTGACTGTGGGACAAGAATATTTTAAAAGTCATTCTGCAAATACATTCATCGTCTTCCCCTTATCCAACATTAAACAGCAGGGTTACCAGGTCCAGGATGACATTATTTTCCACTAGTGACACTTCCTAGCTCATTCTGGGCATCCTAAAGTGAATCAAATACTAAACTAAGTACAACTATTGTTAATACATTCCATCTATGACTAAAATAATAGCTGACAGATAAAAAAAAAAAAAAAGTGACAGCTGCAGTAGCAGTAATATGTTGTCACTGCAGAACTGGAAAAAATCCAGTTCAGTTTTGGAGATTCTCTGATTTAGTCATCTTTCAAGAATCGTAGCAGATGTTATGCTTTACACTGAAAAAAAAAGTAACGCATGCCAAGTTGGGATGTTTTCATCGTGGATGAGTGTGTTTTTTCTGGTTATTTGAAACTACTCCACTTATACAAAATCATATAGCTGGTTATTCTAAAGTTATGGTTCTGTATATACTTTGTGCTCCAACGTCAGTTGTTGGGACCAGCTCTTAACCCTGCAACCAAGAATCAGATCAAGCAAGTACACAGAAATAAAGTGAGTGGTTGAAGTTGGCCGGTTCTTACCTGTGCCTTTAGGTCAGGAGCATAAGTCATAGTTGCCATGTATTTCGAATTATAGATGAGTGGCACCCTTACCATATCCCCACTGAATTTCACGAACAATCCTTTCTTTGGCTTGTCATTAAATTTAAACTTCC